ATCTACTATTCAAAAAAAAATTGATTTTTTTAAAAAAATTCTAGCTTTTATTTTGTTCAGCGTGGGTGCAGATGAGCCTGTTGCATGCATGTTGGTGTCTCGTCTCCTTCCTCAGCGGTTCCTCATGCGCCCGGTGAGTTTCGAACCCGCGATCTGCTGCCCTAACATAAGCTACGCTAACCAATCCACCAACAACAGATGATTTGTTCATTTTTCATATTTTGAGCACTTTTCTTCTTTCCTCTTTTTCCCTTTTTCTTTTTTTCGTGTTCCTCTTTTTATTGGAAAGTTGTTGTTTCTTTTTTCTAAATTGAATGAACTTTCTTGAAAATCAATGAACCTTTTTAAAATTGAACGAATATTTCTTTTTCAAAATCAATGAACTTTTTCAGATTTTTGAACTTTTTTAAAAATGACGAACTTTGTTTGAAAATTGATGAACTTTTTTTTGAGAATCGATGACCTTTTTTTCAAAATTAATGAACTTTTACAGATTATGTGAACTTTTTTCAAAATCGATGAACTTTTTTTAAAAATCAATGATCTTTTTTGAGAATCAATCGACTTTCTTTATAAATCGATGAACTTTTTGAAAATTGATGAACTGTTTTTCAAAGTTGATTAAAAAATTTCATATTTCATGAACTTTTTGAAATTCGTGAACTTTTTTATCAAAATCGATTAACATTTTTTAAATGCATGAACTTTTTTATTATCTTAATCGATTAACTTTCATCAAATCCGTGAACTTTTTTTTATCAAAATCGATGAACTTTTCAAAATCCGGTGAACTTTTTTGAAATTCGTGAACTTTTTTGAAATCCGTGAACTTTTTATTTTACCAAAATCAGGTGAACTTTTTTAACTTTTTCTTTTATGAAAATCCGTTGTACTTTTTTCAAATTCGTGAACTTTTTTGAAAATGATGATTTATTTTGTGAACATTTCTTTGAAATCCGTGGCATTTTGTCAAAATCGACGAACTTTTTTTAAAATTCATGAATTCTTGGTCAAATTGTCCTTCCTTTTTTTCAAAATAATTTGTACTGGGGCTTAAACATGGGTCACATAGAGCTGTTTCCGCACAAAACCCAACAAGCTATCCTAGTGCAGTTGTAGGAGCGCCAAGTCTGTCAGCAAATGCATGTGGCTTCGAATCCTGGCTGCTACGCAATTTTCTTCGCGTTTGTTTTTGAGCATCCGGCGCAAGAGATACTGGGCCGGCCCACTACGGCGGACCGGAGAGGAGCACTCCTTATCAAGTGCGTATATGTGCTTATATTTTCTTTTCATTTTTGCTTTCCAAGGCCCAAACTGTATGACTAGGTTATACAATTGAAAATTTGATTAATGTGATTTTCTAGTTGTTGGGAGTAATCCATATTTTTTTTGTGAATGGGAGTAATTCCTATCTGTCGGTGTGCGGGTTCTCCGCCTGGACGGGTGCATCTCTTCATCTTCATCCGTTGGTCCGGACAATCGCCATTGATTTCGTCGTGACGACATGCTGCCTTCAGGCTACTCGCCTCGGCCTCCTCCCCTCACCCTCGCCTAGGAACAGTTCAACGTCCATCCATCGCTCAAGCCTTGAGTTTTACTTCCTTTGTCCGGAATTACTTGTCCTCGGAAATGGAGGATGTATCTAGTCTAAATACATCCATTTTTACGACAATTAGTTCGAGACGAAGGTAGTATTTTTCCACGGAAGTATGCCCCATTTTATAGTTTGGCATGGGGCCCTAGACTTTGCTCCACCCCGTCCCCGCACTGCACAATTGAGAAGGTTGTAGCGATACCATATTTTGAAAAAATAATATGAATATCTAGCAAACATTCAGCACTGCCAAATGGTGTGGCAATAATATGAATATCTCACTTTCTTGCCGTAGTACGCCCAATGGACAAGTCTGCTGGACGGTGTCCACAAACGAAATGCGCATGCAGGTGCTAGCACATTTGCCGAGGCAGTGGGTTTCAGTAAAGCATGATTGCTGATGCAGGGAACATGGGTTGCTCTTACGTACATGTCGGAGACGGCGAGTCAAACAACGCGGCTCCGTGCAGCTGCAACGAATCTGCACTAGTGTGTACGGGGTCTGCTCAGCACTAGTGAGATTCCTGCATTCACCGGACGTTTCATCAAACCGCATTTGGAGTCTACATCTAGATACATCCATTTCCGAGACAAGTAATTCCGAACGGAGGGAGTAGTATTTTGTGAGAGGCATCCATAGTCACATGGTTACTGATTACTGATTTGACTACTGCCACTACCGAGAAGGTTCCTGGTAATAGGGATGCATACTAAGCAAATGTGATGTTTCTTTTTAAAACAAGAAAATTCATAACTTTATTCGGACTCATAACAACTATCGGTACCATGTTTCAGATTTAAAATCCAAGATACTACAAAGTAACTCATCCAATAAAGAAAACGCCAGAGAGGTCATGTAGAACGCCAAAGTAACTTGTCCCCTTTTTCGTGGCACCCGTCTCTCGTGCTCCTCGTCTCATCCATGCCCCTTGTCTTTGTCGTCGGTTCTGATGGCAAGAAGCATACAACCCTGTCTCCCCCTCCTCAGTTAGTTTGTCTGTTAGACCATTAAGCAAGGTGCATGATCGATTTCACAATTGCTCATTGCACCATCGGTGTGCCTAGGTTATGGACGAACGGACGAAGCTGGTTGTCAGGCAGCAACGCTGATAGCTGTGATTTTGGCTCATGTTGGTCCATAAGAGAGTTGTCCATTGGAGTTATAGGCCAGTCATCCGTTATGGTCCAATGTTAATCCGGTATATGGAGAGGATAGCGAATCTGAACCACATCTACAACTGCAATGACGTAGTGACTCTATGGATGCTTTGAATGAAAAGAGCACCCTTTGCCAAGCTTGTGCCGACATTCAGGAATAGGGGACTACTACTAGATAGAATCCATACCACTGTGGAAGAGCCACATGCCACCTTTTCTTCATGTTGTAGGTCATAATTAAAGGTTCATGATTATCCACAACGCGGTTAGGAGATAAATGGAGACAATATCAAGGTATTTCGGGTAAGTCTCATATGCTATTGCAGAGCTTAGAGGAGATATGATCAAGTCAGTAGAGGACAAACTCCTAGAAAGATTCACACTAGTCCAAGATGGTATTTGTATTTCAAGGTGAGAACTTCTCGTAATTCATGCCTTGACTTGTATTATTCTCGTACAACCATAACACTATCTTTTCATGCCATTTTTAGGATTGCACTAACGCAATAGATGGTATTCATGTGATTGCTAGAGTGTCGAGATCACGGTCTGCAACATATAGGGGTAGAAAGCACTACACAATCCAAAATGTTCTTGTTGCTGTTGACTTTGATCTGAAGTTCACATATGTGTTAGCTGGCTGAGAAGGATCACCCCATGATGCTAACATTCTATATGACCAGAAACCTCGACCTGATGGCATCAATATCCCAGATAACAAGTTCTACCTAGGAGATGTTGTCTATGCATGTTGGCCTTGTGTTTTTCCACTATTCTGGAAAACCATGTACCATCGGAATGAGTTCTCTGACAGGAACTGTCTTAGGACTGCACAAAAATTGTTCAATCCCACACACTCTAGCTTCAAAGTTACGGTTGAGAGGGCACTTGGAGCGGTGAAGAATAAATTTAAGATAGGGGATCAGAAGTCATTCCACACTTTCCCCACCCAAGTTAAGCTTGTGTTTTGCATGTTGCATCCTTCATAACTGGATTCTTTTTTATGAGGTTGTACCAGAGAGGAAGATGTGACGGCTCATGATCTTGATAGCTCCGGCAATGATGTGGAGGAATTTGACAATGGCACCTAAAAGAACAAAAAGATGAAGTGGGTTGAGGCAATGTGGGCAAACAAAGATCAGATAAGGATCTGAAGAAGAAGAAGCAATGGCGGCAAAAGAAGCAGCAGCAGAAAAAGAAGAAGAGGATGGACTTCCTCCTAGTTCAGCATTGATGAATTTTTTTCCTATTGAGCCATATGACTTTTATTTTGTACAAGATGAACTGCTATTCGTTTCCTAGTTAGAACTAAACGTCAGGAAAAAAAATTGATTCTGATGCAGCCAACCTACATGCAGACGACCAAACAATATGCACAGCCTACATGCAGACGATCAAACAACATGCACAATATATGTTTTAGCCTATGTTAGTTGAATCAGATCCAACTGAGTGACAATGCAAAGAGGGAGAAAAAACGCTGCACATAACAAGAGACGCGTTCGACTATTAAAAAAAAAAAGACGCGTTTTTTTTTGCTTGCATGCAGAAATTGTTAAATAGGGCGTGCGAGTGATTTAGCTGAGGATGAGTTGAGTTGAGGTCTCCTCGCCGCGCTCGCTTGCCCGCCTGCTCCCCCATTTCTCCCGGCGCCACGCCCTCGCCCCTCTCCTGCATCGGCCGTCACCTTGACGCTCGCGCCGGCCGACGCTTGGACACCTCGCCATCCCGACGCTGCCACGGTCCGCCACCCCGCTGTCGGCCTGGGCGGTGACCCCTTCGCTGTCTCGCCTGGACCCGGCTGCCTCCGGCCTCGCCTCGCCGGATCCCGCCGCCGCCGGCATCAGCCAGGCCGGATCTGTGGAGAGCCCGGCGCAGCACCGTCTGCAGGTTCGTATCTCTTACTCTACCCTCTTCATTGCAAGCGCACGGCTTCCATTGCTCTGCATTTGTTGGCTGTCCAGTTCCAGTCTTGCCTGCAAATTTAGCTGGGCTCTCGCTGAGTCTCTGTTGGAAACTGTAATAATGTTCACATCAGCCCCCTTTTGTCCAATTTTTTTTATGAAGATGTGTCAATTTTAATCATTTGCAAGTTTGTAATATCTGTAAAATAGGCCGTGATTGATTCCACAGTTGCTGATTCAATTTTTGGATTCTAGTGCTTTGGTAGATTTGAAGAGAGGACTGGTCCTTCAATAACAAATCCCCAACATATTCAGCATACAACCCATCTCGACAGACACTAGCCATGGTGACACCCGCCGAGGCCGTCGGGGGCATGCTCGCCTCAGCCGTCATCAAGGTGGTGATAGGCCAGATCAGTTCCAGCATCACTGGCGAGATCAAGCTGCACAAGAACATGAGGAAGGATCTGGAGAATATGAAGATGACCCTCGAGTCGGTGGAGGCCGTGCTCAGCGATGCCGAGACACGGTCTATCAAGCATGAACCGACTCGTCTGTGGCTGAACCGGCTCAAGCATGCTGCCAATGACATCGCTGACATGCTTGAAGATTTTGAAGATGACACCGACCTCAACCTGGTATGCAAGATTCTGTCGATTCGGTTGCCATCCATCTGGATCTGAATGCTGCTGTTTTCTCATATATGAACTGGTGGAACTGATTTCTTTTAGATAACTAGCTAAATTCTTTTTTTCCTCTTTTTCGAAAAAGAGGATGACCTCTGGCCTCTGCATAGCTATAGCTAAATTCTTCTGTGTTGCTACGTTTTTTTCCTAATATGTTGTCATTATTTTTCTACGACAGCAGTAGGATCTATGCCCTTTTCCAAAAAAAAAGGTAAGAAATAACAACATCTAGGTGACAGAACACCCGGGAAACTCAAACAATGAGAAAGAAGGTCCTGCCACATATGTAATAGCAAATATACTCAGTGGTCTTTCTTTGGTCACATCGACTTAAAACGCCTGAGCAAAAGACTCATGCCGACTGTGGCATGACTTCCATTCCTCGAGGTAAAACTATTGTTCTATCAAACCCATTCTCTCAATGAAAATTCAGGTGGGGAACCCCCCTCCCCCAGCTGGTGACGTTTTCAAAACAAAATCATTCTAATGGTGGAGCTTGGAGATCTGGCGTCCTTCTTGTCCACTAATGGAGATGTGGGTAGGAATTTGGATGTTGCTTGCATAAAATAATCCCTGCTTTCTTCTGTTTTACCAGTAGTTGGTTATGGCCCCAAATATCTTGGATGCTGTAGATCCGGTTGAGTAGATAGCCAACCAAGCTAGTTTGGCTTGCAAGTATGATCTCAATTTCTACACGGATGTGTTCACTATCTTTCTCAAGCACCTGATTGAAACTAGTTTCAAGTTTCAACTGCCATGTAGGGATGTCAATCGGGTCCCATTTAATCCCGTTTAAAGTCCACTTATGATATGATAGTTCAAAAAGGTTTTTCATTTGTTTGAGGAAAATGAACTATCAAACTAGCAAAAACTAACTAAACGGGATTGCGGACGCCATTTATTTGCCACTTACATCCCTACTGCCATGGCCACCCCCTTCAACCTCCAGCCCTAAGGCTGACTCAGTGGCTCTGGGCTTGGTGCTTTTTCAGTGGCATTGGGGGCACAACTACATCTTCTTGATGTACTAGCAAGATGCCCGTGCGTTGCACGGAACATCAAGATGCATTTGTATGAGTAATTTATCTTGTGAGAGAAAATGATGAACGAGGGAAGTCCTTATCTGCAAGTGTGGAGAGAGGTGCGGGTATCTTTTTGCAAAATTGCCATAGTTTGCTTTCGATCTGTCAGATATAGATCGGACGGTCTATATTACACGATGGCAGGCACACCATCATCACCAACTCGGTCTTTTATAAGAGTAGAGATATACAGTGCATGGAAGTGCATTGATTATCTGTTGTCCTGTTAGACATATACATACATGGATGTGCCACCATATAAAAGTTCTAGTAGGAAACAAATCATCAAAGAACTACCACTAGTTGATTAGAGTCTTTTCAGTATATGTGCGTTAATTTGCTAATGGGTCTTTGTAACTTTAAGTGCCAGAAAGGCAACGAAAAGAAGTAATCAGTGTCACCTGTTTAACCGTAATATACTATTTTGATTTAAATTATGACATGAGTTCATAAAACATCCACTGCGTGTGCTTCGAAAGCCTCCCATGGTACTGACAAATTACATTGTACCTCTTGCAGTGGGCAGCTACGATGAAGAAGATTAGGATGCCACGAAAGATGAAAAAGGTGCAAAAACGCCTAGAGAAGATAAAAGACGATCATAATAATTATGGATTTCTAACAGAAACTCACAGGAAAGAGCAGCCAGTTACTGATATCCGGGAAACAGCAGGGAGTATGGTGGAAGAAGAAATCATTGGGAGGGATGCTGAAATATTGGAAATCATGGCTTGTTTATCTGGGAGCACCACTCAAGGGACCACCATCATCCCCATATGGGGCATTGCAGGCATCGGAAAGACCACCTTGGCAAGATGGGTTTTCAATGATTCCCAGTTCAAAGAATACTCTCGGGTGTGGGTCTATGTGTCCCAGATATTTGACCTCAAAAAAATTGGCAACACTATACTATCACAACTATCACAACAAAGCCCAATATCTGATTTGCATGGTGTTCATACTCGTCTCCGGGAGCTGTTTACTGGTAAGAAGATCCTGATTATTTTGGATGACCTGTGGGAGAATGATCTCTTTAAACTAAAAGAATTGAAGGATATGCTAAAACTGGGTGAGGGGAGCAAGGTGATGGTTGTGGTAACTACACGAGAAGAAAGCATTGCGAAGGAAACTGGTACCATTGCTCCAAGCCAATTACCTCCCTTAACAGATGAAATCTGCTGGGATATTATTAAACAAAAATGTAACTTTGAAGCTCGTCCTGACAGAGAGCGTTTGGAGCCGATTGGGAAGGAAATAGCAACAAAATGTGGAGGTGTGGCTTTAGCTGCTCAATCGCTTGGACACATGTTGAAATGCAGGCCGTACGAAGAATGGGATGCCATTAAAGCCAATCATATCTGGGAACTGTCTACTTCTGAAGATACACTGAATACACAAGAAGTGCTTGCATCTTTGTTGTTAAGCTACAACTTGATGCCTCCACGCTTGAAGTTATGCTTTGCTTACTGTGCAATCTTTCAAAAAGGTCACAATATGATTAAAGATGATCTAATTCATCAATGGATTGCTCTTGGATTCATAAAGCCATCCCGTCAACTGTCTCGGAAAGAGATTTTTGCCCCCCCGTGCCCCCCGCGTCGCCCTCCCCGAGCGAGGCGACCGGGGCGGCTCCCCACCCCTCCCCCTCCCCGCGAGTCCCCGCCCCCCTTCCCCCTCGCCGCTGCGGCGGTGACGGCCCATGGCCTGCGGCGGCCGGCGGCGCTCGGCTGGCCCAGATCTAGGCCCTACGGGCCCGATCTGGGTCGGGGCGGGCCTGCTGGTGGCCGCAGTGGGCTGTTCTCCGGTGGTTTCCGGCGAGCTCCTCGCGACAGGGACGGCGGCTGCTGTGCCGCGACTGCTGCAGCACGGCGGCGAAGCTTCACGGGCCCACGCAGGGCCTGGCCGGACAGGGGGTCTGGTGTGCCTCTGCTGCTATGCCCGGTCTGCTACCGCCTAAGCCGGTGGAGGTTGTTCCCTCCCTCGTGGCTGCGGTGCTGCCGGTCCTTGTCTTCGGGTGTCTCGTTTGGATCCGGCCGGCCTCGCTTCGTTGGCCGTGGTGAGACGACGGCGGTGTCCTCGTGATTGTTGGCGCATGTTGGTGGGCGGCGGGTGTGGTGGAGCCGAAGGTTGGTCCTGGGTGGTGGGCGCGAGAGGTCGGGAGAAATCCATGTCGGGTCTTGCCGGCACCAACGCGGTGACGCCTGCGGGCGCCACCATCCTTCTTGAAGGGCGTCGGGTGACCCTCTCCCCCCTCTACCCTCCGTGTACCGGGAGAAATCCTAGGACTCGTCCGGGCAGCAGCGTCGTCATCGTCGCATTCCTTCTTGAAGGTGGTGCTTGGTACACGGCAACTCGGTGGCTTTGGAGCGTGGTGGTTATCTTCGGTGGGCGCAACGATCGCGGTGTGCCGTAGCTTTCGTCGATCCGGCGTTGTTGGCATTTCTTCTCTTATTTTCTCTTGTTATTTCTTTTGGGCGTGCTTGTGCTGTTTGCCCCAGCGTGGATCGGATTGTTGTATCGGGTGGTTGCTATATCAATATAGCGGGGCGTAAGCCTATTTCGGTAAAGCCATCCCGTATGTTCTCTACCTGGCAATGCGGTCAGAGTTATGTTAGGCAGCTTCTGCAAATGTCCTTTCTTCAGTATTCTAAAGTGAGTTACACACCATACCTACGGAGCCACTTGTTCTCTTATTTTATTTGATATATTGAACTACAACTCTCAACGGTAGTGAACTTTTTATAGAGATATTGAGTATTTTTCTAGTAAACTGTTACATGCAGTATGTTGGAATAACCACTTCACTACTTCCATTTCCAGATAACTGATCTTTAAAAATGTAGATGTCCCATTAGAATCTTTGATCATGTTTCTGTGGAAAAATACACATCACCACCCCCTTGGCATTTGCTCTTTTATTACTTGACCTATGCAGTTCTTGACTTTGCACAGCATTATCTGTTTAATTATTTTACTTGAGGTCCTTCTACTGTAGGAGTGCGTCTTGTAGCGCCTTGTGGGCTCCGAATCCTGTGCCACCATTCCAACTCATCTTCATGTGAATTGTTTTGTTTACTAGCAAATTTTTTTTGCTCGAGGAAGAGTTTTATATGCTTGAGGCTATTAATGCAGTTTCATCCCAGAATAGTCTGAGTCGTTTTGCTAATCTCAAAATCTGTAATTGAAGTGTATGCTCTTAATAGCTTGTTAACTACTGAATTATTTTCAGAAAGGTGAATCTGTGTAAGCTGCTGAGCCACTTTTCAAGTATCAAATTTCTTATGGGGAGATAGAATATCTTACTCGGTCTCATTAATTTGTCCCACCTCACGATCAATTATCACTTGACCATATTATTCCTATATAAATGTTCCTCATTGTACTCCATATTTTAATTGTATATGTTAGTTGTCTAGAGACCAGATGTTAGTGTTATGTAGGCCTTTTCCTTATTTTAATTGTAGTATGTTAGAATAAATAAATAATTTTAGAATGCATTCAAATTCACCATTTTATTGAAATGTTCGAATTTGTACAAAATACACAGAAACAAATTTCTGTTCCTGTTCTTGATTTTACTTCTTAATTGGCCGTTTAAAATGCAGGAAGGCAAACTCATCCATAGATTTGATGGAAAATTATTTCACAAATAATCAGTTTACAAAGGAAACAATAGACATAGATTTTTTTTTCTTTCCAAAAAAGCAGTAGCTCAGATGGCAAACTCATCCATACATCAGTAGTAGAATTTTAACTATGAGTCTTACACTATTGTATGTCATTCCTACAGACTGACACCGGAACTCTCGAGAGAAAAGATGCTACAAGGTTCACTATGCATGACCTGGTGCATGACCTTGCAAGATCGGTCACGGCTGAAGAATTTGACTTGGAGGGCCCGAACTGCCGCTATGCATGTAGAACAGATTGTGAGAAACCATTAAAGCCATCCCCGACTTCACCTGCAAAGCTAAGGGCTCTGCATATTGTGGACCATGCCTACAAAGAAACTGAGTTCCATCATGATGCAGATTCACCAGCTAAGTACATCCATGTCTTAGATTTACACAGAGGCTATTGGCATGAGTTGCCAGATTCCATTGGTCAACTGAAGCAGTTGAGGTATCTTAGCGCTCCATTGATCTCGGGTCAAATGAATCCAAGGTTTATTGGCATGCTCTCAAAATTGAATTATCTCAACCTTCATCATTGTGGTCTCTCAACATTGCCAGAATCGATTGGCGAGATGAAAGGTCTGATGCATCTTGACTTGTCTTCTTGTAAGAGCCTAAAAGAACTCCCATTGTCATTTAGGAAGCTCACAGAGTTGCTATATCTGGATTTGTCAAACTGTGATGGCCTTTTAGGGATACCCCAAGCTTTGGGTGGCCTTACCAAACTCCAACATTTGGACTTATCACAGTGCCAAAATCTCGGAGAGCTGCCAGAAGTCATCCGCAAGCTCACTGAACTCCGCTATTTGAATCTATCATGGTGCATGCATCATATCTTTGACAGCTCATCCACAGGTCAAGCGGAGAGTTTCATTGAGTGTATCTGCTTGCTTCCCAATATGGAGCAGCTGCACTTGTCTTGCCAATATGAATATCCTCTTAGCATACCAAAAAGTGCTACCTGCCTCAGTAAGTTGGCTCTCGATGAGTGCTACAGTGTTACTCGGATTCCAGAACGTGTGGCTAAAATGGACACTCAAAGCCTTTTTGGTTTGTTGCCAGACTTTTCTGTATATTCAGATGGCACTGAACCTAATAGCAATCTTCACTTGCTTGAGCATACAAATCCTGAACGGCTGAGTATCACTATGCTTGAAAATGTGAAGTTCATAGAAGAGGCACACATTATAAATCTGAGGGAGAAAAGTAGCATTGTTGATCTGAGATTAGGGTGGACCGAAGATGGAGAGAGATACGTGGAAGACATGGAGTTGCTGAGGGAGCTAGTGCCGCCAACCACTTTGCAGGGGTTTGAGATATATGGTTATTGTAGTCTCCGTTTTCCAGACTGGCTAATGAGTATTATATGTTATCTCCCTAATCTTGCCCGCATTAGGTTGTCTGACTTGCCAAACTGCAAGACTCTACCACCACTGGGCCAACTACCAAACCTCCGAGAGCTTATTCTGGGCGAGATGAAAAGCCTGGAAGAATGGAACACATCATCCTGGAGTGGCGAAGATAGTGTGAATGAGCTCATGTTCCCTAAGCTTGAGAAAGTGTATATATCTTATTGCCCCAGGTTGAGGATAAAACCACACCTTCCTAGAGCTGCCTCTTGGAGTGTAGTGAGAAGTGATAGTGTGCTCATATCATGCGGAGACAGTGTGGCACACACTGATGCTTCCTCATCTTCTTCCCCTGTATCTACTAGGCTGGAAGTTTCAGGCAGCAATTTGCCTCTGCATCAGTGGAGTTTGCTTCACCACCTACCTGCCCACAGCGATTTGGATATCTATGGTTGCAGTGATTTGGCAGGCTCACCAGAGATTATCCAGGCCCTCCACTCCCTCAAAGCACTGAAACTAAATATGGCAGACAGTGAGGAACTGGTGGAATGGTTCGCAGACCTCACGTCTCTCCAGCATCTTACATTATGGGAGTACAAGAAGCTAGAGCAATTGCCTGCTAACATGAGGCAACTCACACAGCTCGAATCACTATCACTGTACGGATGCCAAAGGATGACATCACTGCCAGAATGGTTAGGAGAACTCACCTCTCTCAGGAAACTTGAAATTCTGTGGTGCTTTGCCATCAAGACATTGCCAGAGAGCATACAACAACTCTCAAACCTCCAACAATTGAAAATTCTTGGCAACCCCGAATTGAGGAAGTGGTGTGCAGAAGATGAGAACAAGGCAAAGCTTGCTCACATCAAAGAAATGGTATGTGCCCTGCTATACTATCTGCCATATACATATTACCTTGTTTTTGCACTCACCACATTTTATTTTTCTGTTTCGTACCTATTCGAGGGATTTTCTTGCAGAAAACGCTTTTAGGAAGTAAAATAATTCTTCCTTCCACCAACATATCCTTGCCCCTTTTCGGAAAAACCCAACAAATCCTTGTTATTGAAAACATAAGAAAACAACAGAAGGTCATTTTGATGTAAACCACTCCTCTGTAGCAAAATATGTGTTTAGGAGTTTCGAAAGGAATTGCAGCGGAAATTTCTTTTAAAATAAGAATGAAAACCTGTATTGATACCTGTTTCGAATTTCCAAGATCATCAGTTTCATCCAAAGAGCCTTCACTTAGTACACATCAACCTGTGTGCATTGATTTACATGCAGCACCAAATTTTTTCTTGATCTTATTGAACATGTTCCTTTTGTGTAATGCTCATCATTCATGTGAACACGAATTCAACTTAATGATAGCATTGATTTTTTAACAATTTTTCTGCAGCTTACTGAATCTGACAAAGACGAAGCCACTATGGCAGAGCCAGCAGAGCCGCAACACTGTGGATGCTTGAGATTCATGGGGTTTAAGGAGGATCAATGAGGAAAAAAAATGATTCTAAACTGTGAGTGGCAATGCCCAACCATAGCAAAATTCTTTTCCCCCACAGATACTTATTTTTGAAAGGGAAATCAAGAAGGTAGTTTTGATGTCAAAATAAATACTCCCTCCGTCCCAAAATAAGTTAGTACAAAGTTGAGTCACTTATTTTGGGACGGAGGGAGTAGAAGGGAACACTCCTATGTGTAGAAAATTTTGTGTGTAGGATTCAATCCGAAAGAAATCCCATCAGAATTTATTTTCTTCAAAATAAAAATGAAAATCTCTAGTAATACATGTTTTGAAGTTACAAGATCATTCTTGAATTTATTTTCTTAAAAATAAAAATGAAAATCTGTATCTGTTTCGAAGTAACAAGATCATTCTTTCATCCAAAATGCGTTCAGTTTGTACACTCAACTGTGACTATTGATTTGTAGCACAGCATTTTCTCTTGATCTGATCAAACATGTACCTTTTGTGTAATGCTTATTATTCACGTGAAAACAAATTCAAGTTAGTGATAAGAGTGACTTTGTATTTTTGTATGCAGCTTACTGAAGCTGCACCTGGGCAGAGACACAACATTGTTGCTGTTTGAAATTCACGGGGTTTAAGTAGGATCAATGAGGAGGAAAAAGATTATGAGCTGTGAGTAGCAATGCCCAACGTATCAAAACCATTAGTTGCTTCAGCAGGATTCTGGAAAGTAACAGGTTCATTTGACGCTAAAAAAAGGGTGTGCTTGCCGATTTGATGCCCACCACCCTCGATGCTTTCCAACGATTTAATATAACTTGTTGGTCATAGCACCGACTTACTGACCAGGTGATGCCTGTCTGGCTAGTGACCCTATTGTGTGTCTGTTTTGGGCATATACTGTACTCGTTTCTATGTACTCCCTCCGTTTCAGAATAGATGACTCAACTATGTACTAACTTTAGTACAAATTTAGGTCATCTATTTTGGAACGGAGGGAGTAGTTGACATCACTTTTGTGTTAAAAGTACGAAAATGATACTGAATCACAGAATTTACAAGCCAAACTCGATTGAACTCTGAAATAACTTTAGCTTGCAAATCCTGTTAAAGTACGGAAATGGTACCGAAAAATCATTGGCGGCACTACATCTTCACGTTGTAACCCTGACTAATGTTCTAAATGATTTTGGCCTGCATAAGCTTTTTTAGCTTTCCTTGCATCAAAGCAGCGGTCACCAGGGAAATCCTGGGCAGGCTCAAAGAGTGACTAGGGTAAGCGATACAAGAAGGAAGTCTACTGATCCATAGCGATATCTGAGAAATCAGAGAGGAAATCCCCGACATATGCACAACACTGCACGAGCTGGCAGATGCTAACACCAAGAGGAGAAGTGGGCAAGCAATCAGGGATTTCAGAATTTAGCATAACACTTAAGCAGCATTTTGGCAATGGCAGTCTTGTAAACAATTGAGTCTCATGAATTTTCATTTTTTCATTTTTGACATGTGAGTATTCTTCACAAATTCCAAAACTCTCAAGCCATGTAAGAAATTTTTCTATGCTCTTGACAAAAGTCAATCAAACGAGGGAGTACACAGGACATGCATGGTGCGACAGACAAGCACTCAGATGGGTAATTTAACCATTTCGCACATACTCTCGTTCCGCCTTAGGCTTGGCCTATTTAACTATTTTTTCTGTATGTTAGTTTTTTTCCCTCAATGGTTTTGGGAACCTTCTATATGGTTCCACCGTTTTTTTCTGGGGCGATTTTCTACTGGTGTTTCTAGGACCATTTTTGTTTGGTTTTTTAGTTTTTAGTTTTTTCCTTTTCTATTTTATTTTCCTTTAAATTATTTTCAAATCTGTGAACGTTTAATTAAATCATTAACTTTTTTAAATTCATGAATATTTTAAATTTTGCATTTTTTTCAAAATCCTGAACATCAGTGAGTGGTCATTCTACCAAGTGATCAGCTTGGTAAGCTATCAACAAAAAATTGCAAACAAAAAAAGGTCAGGGGTCATTCTATAGGGACAAGCTAACCGATTAAACCATCAGTTTAATCAACCAAGCTGAGGACACGTTGTTGGGTCGGCCCGTACACTCGCTCACGTGAGCGGTCGTTGTGTAGCTGGTGCAATAGGCGTGAGCAACTAATTGAGGAGTACTCCCTTGGAAGCTCCCGCAAGGGTCACTTGGCGTGTGCTGGGAGTGCGTCACTTGGCGTGCTCTCAGCCGTCGTCATGTGTCGTGCTTTGGATGTTTCCTTCAAAAAAAATATTTCTCCGTACGCGTTTTCAACGTTTTGATGATTTGTTTTTTCGGCTTTTCCTGTTTTTTCTTAGGTTTTGGACAAAAAGATTTAATTTTTTTTGCGTGAAAAAGCACGTTTTCGTATTTCCCTTCTACGAGAGGTACAAATTTACTTCTCACGGAGGCACCGATTTGCTTTCGCGAACGTCGTGCCTCTCAGAAAAAAACATGTTTTTTTTCCAGAGGTATAGATTTACTTTTCGTGGAAGCACGAATCTGCTTCCGCAAGTGCCTCTTGAAAAAGAAAAAAACATATTTTTTTTCTGCAAGAGGCACATATTTTCTTCTCTTGAGGCATGGATTTGCTTCTGTGAGAGGCACTGTCGTGCTCTCGGAAAGAAAAAAAAACATATTTACTTTTTTTCATGAGAGGCACTTATTTACTTCTCGTGGAGGCATGAATTTGTTTTCGCGAGAGGCACATTCATGCCTCTCGAAAAGGAAAACATATATTTTTTCCTATCGCGAGAGGCACAAATTTACTTCTCGTTGAGGTACGGATTGCTTCCGCGAGAGGCACGGTCGTGCCTCTCAGAAATGGAAAAGATGTGTTTTTCTTTTTCCGTGAGAGGCATAGATTTACTTCCACGAGAGGCACCATCGTGCCTCTCGGAAAGGAAAAAACACATTTTCCCTCTTCCCTTCCACAAGAGGCACATATTTACTTATCGTGGAGGCACGGTCGTGCCTCTTGGAAAAGGAAAAAACACATGCCTCTTTCGAAAGAGAAAAACGTACTCTCGGTTTGGTTTTTCCATAAAATAAAAGTTCGTTGAAGCCTATCAACACGGGACCTAGTTTTTGAGATCTTGAAGCAATAAATTCAATGGTGAAAATGGTTCAAGATTTGGGCGCACTGTTTAAGAGATAAAATATTTTGAATAAACGAATATACGAAAAAATAGAAAACTCACAGCTTGTAACAAGTGATGCCCATGCAGTGTGCCACTTGTTGCAACTTGATAAGGCGGGAATGATTTTTGCAAGAGATACTCCTTAATTTGTGATTTCGGCGCTGAGGAGGGACACTCTTTGTAGCCACCTATCATGCACGGGTTAGGAGGAGGCACGCCTTGGAGGATGATGGGCCTCTCCATCTCCTGGTCCGGACCTGGTGTAGTGCTGAGACAATGTTTGCCATTCTTCGTTTCTTCATTGAGAAGAGTATAGTTTTCCCCTCCAAATGTACCCAATCGGATCATCACCCCCCGGAAAGAAAAAAACATATTTACTTATTTTTTTCCGTGAGAGGCACTTATTTACTTCTCGTGGAGGTATGTATTTGTTTTAGGCACGTTCATGCCTCAGAAAGGAAAACATATTTTTTTTCCTTTCACGGAAGGCACAGATTTACTTCTCGTTGAGGTACGGATTGCTTTCGCGAAAGGCAAGGTCGTGCCTCTCAGAAAAGCAAAAGATGTGTTTTTTCTTTTTCCGTGAGAGGCACAGATTCACTACTAAGGATAAGCCTAGCAGTAGCGCGGGTATTTGGTGTATCAGTAGCGCGGTGCTGATATAGCGCTACAGCTAACATGTAGCAGTAGCGCGGGTTGACCCACACTACTGCTATACATAGGTAGCGGTAGCGAGATTTAGAGCCACGCGCTATTGTTAATAGGTGCAATGCTTTTAATTAAGCCGTGCTACTGGTAAGAGCGCGTTGCTGCTAACTTTATTCCTCTTGCTACTGCTAGTTTTATTAGTTTCTGTTTTTTCTGCATATTTGTTTTCTATTTGAACAGGCTTTATACAATAATCCTTAGCATATCATACACATACAAATGTAATCATAGCATATACATACAAATAGTCTCATCAAATCATGTCCTCGTCATAATCATCATTCAACACAAAGTGGTCTCTCGTCATCATCTCGAAAATAGCGACACAAGTTTCAAATACTTGCAACTACATCGTCATCCATCTAAACAATGATATACGCGAGAAGAGCTATCACTATGAGTGAGAGTGGAACTATGCAGTACATGAGGCGGCGGTTATGAGTCATCTCTCGTGCTAGCGTGAACTCAGGTAACTAGCTTCTGCTTCTTGTCTGCTTTTGAAGCCTTTATGGCTGGCGCCGGAGACCCCCTCCACTTGCGCCTGACACTCAGGCCACTCGTCGTACAGTCCCGAAACCTTCCCTTTGTACACGACATAGCATTGCTTCTTCGCCATCAAGAATCTAGGTACCTGTTAGAGATGCATCTTCATCAAAAGAATGTACAATCATATGCAACAAAATATACTTGAGCAACACGAAAAAGAAAGGGTTATCAACTAGGTGCAACATATAGTAAACAGACAAATAGTCAACGCAGTTTCATCGTACGCAAATTAATTACCTAGAGGTACGCAGGTCATCGTACCCAAACTAACAAAGTAGCGCTACGCAAGTTCGGCAGGGACTATTGACATCACAAATTTTCATCACTACAGAAACTATACAAGTTCAACCGACACATATCATCATCATCGGCATCGTAAATCACTAGAAGTTCCATCCTTCCATATCATCGAGGATGCACGCTAGCTTCTTGAACGGCATGAGATCCTGACGTTGCATGCCTATGCGAGTTCGGATGTCAGCTTGCGATATAGGGCCGTGGTGGAACATCCCCTTCTCTTCGATGACTTCTTTCATGATGATTGTCGCAATGTCCTTCTAGATGCTCAAGAAGTCATCTGTAAGTTTATAATCCG